GAGAAGAGAAGTTCTGACAATCATAAATTTTATGCAGCGGGTTCACTCACACTTGCATGTCCCTGAAGCATTTGATGCAAAGCATAGACTTATTCTCTGTAGAGAATAGGATGTAAGGTTCCTCGTGGAGAGCTGCGGAGACACAGACGCCTTTTAACTTCAGCTCACAGGAGTGCCAGAGTTAAAGTACTGCTATTCTGTTATTCTAGTGGGCCGTATGTAACAAGTAAGGTTCATAATACAGACACAGGTTGCTGATTAAATTTAAAGACCACACTCATACTGACTGGGGTGTTAACACCACTCCTTTTTATGCTGCTTTTAAAAATTACCCACCACTGCGTGTGAGAGTATGATTAACATGTAGCCAGGAAAATTCAGCCACAGCGCTGGAATAACTACAGTTCTTATGAACATGTTTCTACACAGGTGTAATTGAGCCTCGTAGGTGAGTAATTCTTCTGGAGTAAATTACAGGTGGCACTCACAGCATTTCCTGTGTTTGGCTTTGGTGCGTTTGGCCAAAGACACAATCTCATGGTGGGAAAACATTCTGGCCTTGTGTGTCAGCTCCCTGCAGGTGGCGCACAATGGCTGGCTGCAAGTGTTACAGTAGTACATCACCCCTGTGTCCTGTATAAATAAGAATATTTAAGAATGTTTTAAAAGATTTATGAATAGGTTTTATATTAAATTTTTCACTGTTGTACTCAGTGGTCATTTAGACTTTAATTTAGAGAACATATATTATAGGAAGAATGTGAGCAGCATTAAAATTGCATATGAAACATCAAAAAATTAAAACTGAAAAGCTGAAGTGAAGAATTTTGAAGTTCTACAAACACTCCTGCAGAAATTAAGAATTCAGCCCCTTTAAAAGCTGCATCCCTGTTAGCCTTTGGTTTCTCCTATGCACTTATAAAGCCCAAGTAATAGGTTGCCTGTTTCCTAATATGTGGCTATGAAATAAGCATGCCATTAAAAGGGACTGTTTTGGATCCTGGTAAAGCTGGCTGGGTTAAGCATGTGAACCGTATGTTTTAAGGCTATTTACTCCTGGGTTCAAGTGAGCTTTGAGGCCATTTACTGCATGCCTTTCTCCTGGCTTTCCTGTCATAATAAAGACTAAAGAATTGGAAGCCTTTAAGAGAATGCAGGTAATTTTCTGGTTATCCATGGGCTCATTTAACATGAATTAATGTTGGTCTGTTAGATCAGTACCTTTTTGTTGCTTTCCTGGTCACAATTGGCACACTGCACCGCCTCCTCAGCATCTGCATTGTTGTCAACAAGAAACTTCAGAAGACGGTCCTCTGGTGGGAGGCTATTATTCCCTTTTACTATAGATGGGTATCTGTGGCAAAGACAAACAGCTTAAAAAAATATGTTAAGAGGAATCATGAAAGTTATCTACAAACAGTATTTTGTGAATTTTCAAGTTCACTCCTGCTGGGAATCACTAAAACAATAACGACACAGTAATATGCAGCTCATCCACTCATAACATATAGGGCATTCTAAAAAAAATGCAATAAAAAAGGGCTTGACTGTCAATCTATATCAGAGAATAATTTGCTTTTCTAAACTACACCAGACAGATTCATCAGTTTGTAAATCGTGACAGTGCTTTTACAGGAGGCTGTGATTCAACATATAGTCATTTAAAATCTGTATAACATGCAAAAGATCCGTTCCATTTTGCACAAAATCTGCTAAATCAAAAATGTGGAGCTACCAACTGTGGTGACCCCTTGTGAATAATGAAGCATCTAAAAGTAGCTTTTAATGTGATGCAGCAGAGAGTAAACACACCCCTGTCACAGTGTTTTCTAAAACACTGAGGGGGGGAGGGGGGGGGGGCGTTTTTCCTTTTTTCAAAGGACTAACATTTTCTCATATCTTATATCTCATATCTATCTTTCTTCATAGATAGATAGATAGATAGATAGATAGATAGATAGATAGATAGATAGATAGATAGATAGATAGATAGATAGATAGATAGATAGATAGATATTTCCAGTGATCTGCAAAAATATAACAAAATCACACATAATATAAGACCGAAATATTTTTTTAAAAAGAAAGAAATAAAATTGCAAAACGAGCTTGTCTCCATGAAGAAGAATAAAAACCTTTCAAATATTTTGGTGCAGTATTGCAGCAAGCCTGAGGGGGGCAGCACTAGAGACCTAAACACTGCCGCTGTCACCGGCGAAGAAGAGAAAGCGGAAGACTGTCAAATAAACGTGCGCTGTAGCGGAGATTTGGTCGTGTGTTATCTGGAAATTTCTAGCAAGAGCTATCTCTGTAGGGAAAACGACAGCGTGTGTAACCTTTTCGACAAAGCGACATTATAGTCAGCGTTAAACATGTCTGTTATTTCAGAGGAACATGTTCGAGGTGGCAGCGTTTTCAAGGATATTAGCGCAGACGACGACGACTGGCAGCCCACTGAGATTGAGAGCCTGTGTATGAACTGCTACAAGAACGGTACAACACGTTTGCTTCTGACCAAAATCCCTTTCTTTAAAGAAATAATTCTGAGCTCCTTCAGCTGCGCCAACTGTGGCTGGACAAACACTGAAATCCAGTCTGCGGGTCGGATTCAAGAGCAAGGCGTGTGTTACACGCTTAAAGTCAAAACAAAAGAGGACCTAAACCGGGAGGTTGTAAAAGCAGACAGCGCGACCACAAGGATCCCCGAGCTGGATTTTGAAATCCCTGCCTTCACTCAGAAGGGCTCTCTGTCTACCATTGAGGGTCTTTTAGACAGAGCAGTCGCAGGATTGGAGCAAGACCAGGTTGTGAGGCGAGCCACACATCCTGAGGTGGCTGTGAAGATAGAAGAATTCATCCAGAAGCTCAGGAAGCTAAAAGAGGTTGAAAATGAGTTCACCCTGGTGATTGAGGATCCATCTGGGAACAGTTTCGTGGAAAATCCTGTAGCACCGCAAAAAGATGAGGCTCTCACAGTAGCCTTCTTCAAGCGGACAGTCCAGCAGGATATACAGCTGGGAATAAAGGCAGATGATGACCTGGATGAGGAACCAGCTGGCAACGACCTGGAGACGATGAGAAATGAAGTTCTGACATTCAACACTAACTGTCCCGAGTGCAACGCACCAGCCTCAACCAACATGAAACTGGTCCAGATCCCCCACTTCAAGGAGGTAATCATCATGGCCACTAACTGTGACAGCTGTGGCCATCGGACCAATGAGGTGAAATCAGGTGGAGCGACAGAGGCGCTTGGCACCAAGATCACCCTGCACATCACCGATCCTTCAGACATGACCCGAGATTTGCTGAAGTCAGAGACGTGCGCCGTCATCATTCCAGAGCTGGAATTCGAGCTGGGAATGGCAGCCCTGGGTGGGAAGTTCACAACTCTTGAGGGCCTGCTGAAAGACATCAAAGACCTGACTGTCTCCAAAAACCCCTTCATCTGTGGGGACAGCAGCACTGCAGATCGGATACAGAAGCTGCGTGAGTTTGGAGAGAAAATAGACAAGATCATTGTAGGAGAACTCGATGTCCATGTCATCCTTGATGACCCTGCAGGGAACAGCTATTTACAGAATGTCTACGCTCCGGAGCCAGATCCCGAGATGACTGTTGAGAAGTACGCCCGCTCGTTTCAACAGAATGAAGAGCTGGGACTGAATGACATGAAGACTGAGAATTATGAAGAGAAAAATAATGTGCCAGCAGTACCTGGAGGGACTGAATGAGTTTATCTGTGCTAATTAATGTCCAAAAGAAATCCCAGTATAATTAAGTTGCTCCATATTTTCGGCCACTTTGACTCATTTTAAGTTAAACACTGGGTGAATACTCCCTTTCATTGGTATGTTGATCAATGAGAAGAATTCCAAGTTTTCTAAATGTACTTTAAAAATAAAAGGCATATAATAAGTTGTATAATAACACATTAAAATGCTGTTGTTAATCGTACATCCTTGATGACTTAGTGCATTCTTGTGAAATCCCTGAAGATGGCACTGCATTTACTCAGATTAAAGTGATGTTTTCCTTTTAGTGGGCCACATTCTGTGTGACAAATGTATTTATTTTGACACCTGTAAGTGTGCCATCCTCCAAATACTGGTATTTAATTGGCAGTTTGGCTCTGCTCTTTGATTTGGCAGATTTGACTCTGAAAGCTGAATTTTACTTTTTGTCATTGCCTTGAGTCTGAAATACAAATTCTCACTTCACTCATTTTTTTGGTAGTGTTCTCAATTTATTGTACCTTGAACACAACATTTTAAACTTATTTGTTTAGAGATTATCAATATTTATTTTTTTACAGCGTAAAATATCCTATTCGCCCAGTATTAACTGACATGGAAGAAACTGCAGCAAATTTCTAATTTCAAAGGTTGAATTGGAGTGTTTATGTGATTAAGAAATCAATTTGAACTGAAGAGCGATTAGTTGTCTATAAACCAATTAAATTACCTTACATCTAATTAATACTGAATAAAATCGCTACCTTGGTAAGAAAGTGTCTTATTTTCATACACCTTTTTAAGCCTAGTTGTAGACCTCAAAACTTGTTTCACTGATTTTTTTTTTTTTTAATTGTTTAAATAAAGTGTTTTTAGAACCCTCTAAACCAGTTTCCTACACGTGATTCAACCCAGTCCCGTTTTTAAAGAAATAAATACAGGACTGGGTTGAATCACGTGTAGGAAACTGGGTTAGAGGGTTATAAAAACACTGTACATGCAGATTGAAACCCAAGTGCTGTACGACCACATGTAACCAGTTTTTGTTACATTACCACATCTGCACAGGCCCGTTTGACTTAAATATTGTTCTTCTTGCCTCCACTATGAACCATTTTATCTAGTTTTCATAGCAACAGGGATCCATTGTGTTCTACTAATAGAGTTGTGAGTTCCTAGATTATGTGGTTCTTGAGTGAGCAGCTGTTAGCTGATGGAAATAGCTGCCAGACAGTGGGCCCCTGTATCCTGAGCTCAGACAGCAGAGCAGAGTGGCTTTATGCCCACTGTGTTATTACTGTAAAAAAACAGATCCAATATGTAAAAACATATGTGTTGGTATTACTTTGACTTTTACTGTTGACTATATAATCTGATGCACCTCATGACAGTTAAACTAGCTCTGAGGAAGTTAGATGCGGGGTTCCACAGTCATTAATTTTTCAAGAGAATTGTATTTTAATAAATTCACCTACCTCATTGGCAGTGTAATATGGGTATGTGTAAAGAATCAATATAAATTCAGATATAAACCCAGAGGAATTTGATATACAATGTTTTGGTTTTTTTAAAGCAGTTCCGGGTTTGAAACTACAAGAAAGTAGAAAGCATCTCAGAATAATTAAAATACTCTCAAATTCATCACCACTATATCTGATTCAGATAAGACAAAGTCGTATGCGTTCTGACACAGTAGATTAAGACTGATACTGTGCATCAGAGGACCTTTTCTATGGACCCATGCTTTGATGAGGGAAAGTTAACATTGCAGATCTGAAGGTGACTGTGAACCACAGGTCATTCCTTAATAAGATATTAAATGGACTGCTATCATGTGACTTCTTTTGATTGTCCTAAGCTGTTAGCACTGCTGCCAAATACCAGTATGCTTTGTTTGCTTTGTGACATGGCTTCATGGAAGTTGCAGCCCCTTTGCGTATTGGGGCCAAGGGCTAAATAAGAGACTGGGTTGACCCTGCAGCTGCTCCAGCCACTCAGTTCTGCCCTACCCACACCGGGCCAGCAGTGGGTCATAGCAGCGCCCTAAAAAACAAAACAGTGAGACTTGATGTTCTTCTTCAGTCTCCTGCACAATTTACATGGAACCAATCCTGTTGAGCAGCGCTGCCCAAAATCCTTGAGGTGTTTTCAAGAAGTAAAGTTATATTTTATTATAAGAATCCAGCTTTTATCATATTTTGACAGTTTTACTCAACTTTCTAATACAAAATATAAGTAATGTTGCTGTAAATTGTGTAAGGTTGTAATTCAAAATGAGAGTGTCTTTAAGCCACCAAAACCACAAGTCATTCACTTTGGTGTCATGTGGAGGCTCAGGTCTCCTAAGAACATACTAAAACAGCATGTTTGACTTATACTTTCATAGTCTAATTTGACCATGACGAACTTAAAAGTGCCCTCTCTTACCCACAGAGGGGGCAGCTGAGGCGATTGTCAATAGTCCGACCTCTCAAGCAGCGGGCACAAAAGATGTGGTAGCAGTCCAATAAACATGGGGACTGGTACTGCTCATGGCACAGGTGACACATCAAGGGGTGAACATTAGCACAATCCACTTTACACAGACTGCCCAAGTTGTTGAAGATTCCTCCTGCCATCTGGGAACAGAGTACATGAATAACAACAATCCTTTAGTTTGTTCTTGGAACGGCCTTTTTTTAAGACTACAAAATCACATTACTTTAAAAAGCTTTCGATAGTGCTGTGATACTGAATTACACCCCAGAGACCAGGCCAAGAGTGATAATGAAACACTTTGATCATGAATAATTAAACAAGGACAACATTTATCGCTTACCTTGTCAGACAAGTAATACCAGCCTGTAAATTCGGTGACTATGCACAATCCACAGATCATAAATATATAACATAAAAATAGGATGTCATCACTAACATTATATCCACTATCAAACTAAACTTACTGTAAATGTAGTAGGCCGGTCTGTGGAAAGCACAGAGTGGCTCTGTCTTACCTTTTAGTGGTGCTATCAGCTACCCACAGCAGGAATGACAGCAATGCAGAAACTCTTCAATAGTAGGGCGATGGGCTCTGTCTGCCAGGCAGCTGACAGCACACACACACCTCATGCCAGCCCCCACGTGTTGCCAAAGTGCAAAAGGGAAATTTAATATTGCCATCCCACACAGACTGTAACAACAGTTGTCCTATTTCTAATGTCCTCCTGCTCAATCCCACGTGTTCATCTGGAATATGTACATATATTTATACAACCTACTCATTCACATGTAATCTGTAGACTCAAGTAAAGTGCATTATTCCAAGGCCACATGTTTATATGTA